GTACTTGCCATTTGGAATGGGGTTTGAGGGTGTCTGTGTGTATGGATGAAGGCATTTGAGGGTGACACTGAAGTAAAGCTAAAATGTGAGACTACATCACTGGAGAAAGGGAAATTCCAGACAGTGGGCACCGCATGAGTAAAAACAAAATGATGTTTGCTGTGCAGAGACTTAGAAGAATGCTTCATTGGCCCAGGTATTAGGATGCAAGTCAAAGATTAAAAGGTTAAAAAGGAGGCTAGAATAAAATGATAGAAAACCCAGAGTATCTGGTAAGGGGTGTTGACTTTTTCTTTTGATTGACTAAATATAGTACCTCTTTTTGCTTTAATTAATTTCTCTTTAAATGTTCAAAATGACTCAGAGTAACTCAAGCACTTTCCAGGGCCATCTTACTAACGGCATGACAGATTACTGACTTAGGGCGATGTTTTCTTTTCAATGCCTCTAGTACTGTCTTTCCTTTTCCCTTTGTTTTAGCTCACAGGCGTAGTCTGTGTGTACAGAACCAAAGGTAGAGATAAATATTGACTAGCTGTCTTGGTGTCTGAGTGAGTCAGGCCAGTTTGTCTCCTCTCTGAATATCTCATAAATACCATGTCAATGGAACTCATTGGCCCAGTGAGAGGTAGAAGAACAGAGAATCTAAAAGGGGTCCAGGAACATGCCGTTCTCAGCACAGCAAAAGGTGGAGAAATGTGTGTTTGGAGAAATCAAAATAAAATGCATTTGGTATAGTTCACGTCAGTGCTTTTGTTTCCCTTCCCAGAAGTGAATGATGTGCTATTTTGCCAGTTTCAGATGCCTCCAATCTGACTTTTGGTTAAAGCAAAAAGACATATGACACACACACACACACACACACACACACACACACACACACACACACACATTTTACCAGAAAGAATAATGTCATATAAAAAACACTTAGCTGTTTCACGTGTGCATAGAAAGCTTAATAAATGTCATTCTTTGCACATGAAAATTCAGAAGGTCACAGAGGACAGATTGGGAATAGTGAAGGAATATAAAAATCACCCTCTGCTATAGGTGATCTCAACCTGGCTGCTTATGGAAATCACCTGGGAGGACTTCAGAACTGCTAAGCTGAGGCCTCACATCCAGATTGGGTTAGTGAATTTTAACCCATATATGATTATAAAGTCCAGCCAGAGTTAAAAGCCATTGAACACTCAAAGCCTCTAGTTTACTTACTGAGAAATCTGAGAGAGTCATGAAGAGATGTGCTCACATTGCTGATTTAAAAAGTAAACGGCCGGGCACGGTGGCTCACGCCTATAATCCCAGTACTTTGGGAGGCTGAGGCAGGTGGATCATGAGGTCAAGAGTTCGAGACCATCCTGGTCAAAAGGTGAAACCCCGTCTCTTCTAAAAATACAAAAATTAGGTGGGCATGGTGGTGTGCACCTGTAGTCCCAGCTACTTGGGAGGCTGAGGCAGGAGAATTGCTTGAACCCAGAAGGCGGAGGTTGCGGTGAGCCGAGATTGTGACATTGCACTCCAGTCTGGGTAAAAACAGCAAAACTCCATCTCAAATTAAAAAAAAAAAAGTAAAACAAGGCCTAGCACAGTGGCTCAAGCCTGCAATCCCAGCACTTTGGGAGGCTGAGGTGGGCAGATCATATAAAGTCAAGAATTCGAGACCAGCCTGGTCAACATGGTGAAACCGCATTTCAACAAAGAAAAAAAATAAAAAAGCAAAATTAGCCAGGCATGATGGCATATGCCTGCAATCCCAGCTACTAATTTGATTTGGGAGGCTGAGACAGGAGAATCCTGGGAGGCAGGGATTGCAGAGAGCTGAGATCATGCCATTGCACTCCAGCCTTGGTGACAAGAGCAAAACTCTGTCTCATAAAAAATAAAACAAAGAAAGAAAATGAAGAGAATAAAAAACAAAACAAAAATATCTGGGCCTAGAACACAGTTCTCCAGAATCCTGGTGTTCTTTCTCCAGAGTTTGTTGTTTTCTCATACATCAGGGAAATAGGGATTTCTAAAATCTACTTATTTCTAACATTAAGTTCTTAATTGAGACAGTCAGTCAACAACTTTTGATGTGTCATTTACTGTTCAACAAAAGGCAATGTAGCAGAACACAAAACCCTTGCACTTAGTGAGTTAGTACTTGGTAATACAAAGTAGAAAGACACTTGCAGTCAACATAAATAAGAAAATGAGAAAATAAATCACGTAACATGGGTGTGTTTCCATGTACCAGGGTAATGAATTTGGGTAGCTCTAGTGCTAGGCACCATGTTAGATGTTTGATGCTTGCTTGCTAGCCATTGAGGACACAGACATTCAAAATAATTCCTTGACACCAAATAGTTGCACTTGAAAATGGAATGAACATTGCCAGGAAATAAAGATGAAAAGCAATTTCAAGCCAAAGGATCAGTTTGTACAATGGAATAAATTTATGAGAGAAAATGGTACCTTCAGAGGATTACAAATCAGTTCAATAGCACTAGAACAAATAATGGGAAGAGACTATAAAAAATAAACTTCAATCAAATAACAAATGACAATGTATGCCGTAAACTGCTTTTCTCCTATGCGAGTGTTTCTCAAACTATTCCGTGTTATAAATTATACCTAGAGATTTTAAGAAAACAAGATCCCACATCTATCCCCAGTATTTCTACTCTAGTGTTTCAGATAATATTCTGCAGCACTTTGAAAAATACTGCTCTAGGTGATGGCAAAGTATTGAAGAAATGTAATGCAGGCACAGCATGATTGGATTCTCATGTTGTAAAGATTAATGCTGGAAGAAGTACAGAAGATATATTCAGAGCTTCTGAAATAAGCATTACACATAGAAAGGAACAAGCAGTATTAGCCTTTCTAAAAATACACCGAAAAGTAAAGAGCATCAACATAATGAAGAATTCACATCAACTAATGGGCAAAACAGCCAGCTAATATCAAATGGCAGTAATCCTAAATTTAAATTGTCTAAATCCCCCAATCAAAAGATACAGACAAAACCCATCAGTATGTTGCATCCAGACCCATCTCACATGCAAGGATACACAAAGACTCAAAACAAAGGGATGGAGAAAGATTTGCCAACCAAATGAAGAGCAAAAATAAATAAATAAATGAAAAGCAGAGGTTGCAATTCTCGCCTCAGATGAAATGGATTTTAAAGCAACAAAGATCAAAAGAGGACATAATGGTGGAAGGATCAATACAACAAGAAGGGCTGACGATCCTGGATATGTAGGCACCCAATACAGGATACATAAGACTTGTAGAGAGACTTGGACTCCCACACAGTAGTAGTGGGAGATTTCAACACCAATATTAGATAGATCAACGAGACAGAAAATTAATAAGGATATCCAGGACTGGAACTCACATCCGGAGCAAGTAAACTTAATAAACATTTATAGAACTCTCCACTTTAAACACACAAGATATGCACTCTTATCAGTACCACATCACACCTACTCACAGGTTTAAATAAAATACTAGTTGGCCATTATTAAGCACAACTGATGGTATAAGGGAGTTTTTCAATACCCATTTTTAGATTGCATTCTAGCCTGGGCAATTAAGCAACACTCCCTTTCTCTCTCCCTCTTCCTCTTTCTGTTTTTTCCTCTTCTTCATTCCTTTTTTTTCTTTCATTCTCTCTTTTTAAAAAAAAAAAAAAAAAAAGATGTATTCAGGACAGAATGATAAATTCCATAGGGAAATTACGGCACTACTGTAAGAGGGAGATAATGAGGGCCTTACTAGAGCAGCATTGGAAATGATTAGAAATAGGAAATAAGTATTTAAAATATTTAAACACTATAATTAACAGATGACAGGACTTAAAAACAGAATTTATGTAAGTAACAAAGAGGGTGGAGTATACAATTGCTTGCAGGCATCTGATTTGGGAAATTGGATGGAAGGTACTATCAGAAAAAAGGTGAGTTCAGACTTGGGCATGCCCATTTCTAAATGATGATCAACTTCACCTCAGCTGTTAGTTGTACCCATCAATCTGCATCTCAGGAAGAAGGATGTCCAAAGACATCGATTTGAAAATCATCAACATACATATGGCACGTGGATTTCATTAAGAAGATGAAGAAGAAATTATGAGAAGGGAATTAAAACTGAGAGAGGAGAGTATTTCAAGAAATAAGTGTGCAATTGTTATAAGTGACCAAAGTTGATGACCAATTATTTTGAAGTTAACAATTTAAAAGTCATTGGTAACTGGGCATGGTGGCTCACATCTGTAATCATCTCAGCACTTTGGGAGGCTGAGGCAGGAGGATATCTTGAGTCTGGGAGTTTGAGACCAGCCTGGACAACACAGGGAAAATCCATCTTAAAAAAAAATAATTATCCCAGCATGGTGGCACACACCTGTAGTACTACTTACTTTGTAGACTAAGAGGGGAGGGTGACTTGAGCCCAGGAGTTCAAGGCTGCAATGAGCTATGAACATACCATTGCACTCCAGCATGGGTGACAGAGCAAGACCTTGCTTCTATTAAACCCCCATAACACAAGTTTGTATATGTAAAAAATCTACACTTGTATCCCTGAACTTAAAAGTTTAAAAAAAAACTAACCAAATGATGGTTACATATAATACACATAATAAAGGAAACTTATTTAAACCTGAAAAATAAAGAGAACGTTAAAAATATTTTTTTAAGTCATAGGTGAATTTAGTGAGAGTGAAGGGGGTAACCTAAATTTTGTGAATTGGCACTGATAGAAAAGATTAGAGGCAGTGTCAACAAATATGATGAGTCAATAGGTAGGAATGTGGGCTTCTGTCTCCTCTCTCACACATACACACACACCCTTTTTGTTGCTTATTATAAAAATTCTTTCTTCATTGTATATGTGTGACTAACTGAAATGTGAAGAATGCAAGTAGTATGAAGAAAAGAAATATAAAATAATGAAGATTATAATGCAATAGAATAGTAAATATTAGTGTAAAAAATTAGGAGACTCACCAAACTGGTTCAACGTCCTTTAAAAGAAAAAAGTCACTAATGTGAAGGCTTATTTTCAAGGTGAATCTCTCTAGTTTCTTTTCCTAAGCAGATAAAGACAAAAAAAAAAATCCTTATTGATTTCAGACATACAAACAGATACCTTCCACAGTCTTTTGTAGAACTATCAGACACTTTTAAAGAAGGAAAAATAATTTGGAATTAACTATTTTAAATATCTCAGGAAGAACAAACATAAATATTCAGAATGTCTTTAGAACATTAATGTCTATGCCTCCATAAACTTTAGTGTGATATTTTCACATCTTAATGCTGGTTCACTGTGATATACTTCAGCAAGCCTTACTTTTATATATGAATCATTCCAATTTCTGAGTGAAGATAGGGATAAATTTAGCTTATGTATTTTCTAACTTATGCTCATATTTTAATAATAGATTATATCCTAAAAGGACTTATGAAACTGTTATTCAATAGAAGTGTAATTTTAATTTAAAAAATTTTAGTAGACATATTAAAAAAGCAAAAGCACATTAAAACCAAAGCAAAACTAATTTTAATAATATGTTTTATCACAATGTGTCCAAAATATTATTTCAATGTTAAATACATATAAAAATTATTACTGAGATATTTTACATTATCTTTTCCTGAAAATCTTTAAAATCTGATGTGTATTTTGCACTCACAACACACATCAATTTAGATTATCCACATTTTACGTGCTCATTCAGTACTTTTGGCTAATTGCTGCCATATTGGGTTTTGCAAAGTTAGACTATTTACTGTACAGACTGTGTTTTTTTATGTATCACCCTAACAATCTGAAAATTACACAATTTTCAACCAAGGTATACTTTCCTTCCTGTTATTTTACTGCAAAATACTTTAGTGTGAATAGCTGATGTGAGGAGATTTGTCTTAAATAAAACATTAATATTTACAAAACAATGATTTAATACTTACAATGTGCCATTCTCTTGTTAAATGTTGAGAAATGGGGATAAATAATGTAGCTATGCCTACAAAAAAAATAGCAACCATTCTAGCAGAGAATAAAATCTTATGCATAATATTTGTTTCGTGTGGGGAACATTTAAGATGGCATTTAGTAAGTCATTGCTTCCAAAAAGACAAATGAGCAGTCTAGGCCCAAGTGCTCTGGATATTCAGCAAAGAAGAGGCACAGATTTGGCAAGACTTAGAATAATGTTTGTGAAAGCTACAGACCTTGAATGAAAACTTAAAGGATGAGTGAGATATGGTTTGACAGAACATTTTAACAAAACTAATACAATCATGAAAATGAGGGTAAATATTACATGGAATAGAAACAGGAAAACAATCAAATGCCTGGAGTGGTAGGTTAAGAAAGAAAAGTATGATATAAAAATGGTAGGGCTTGGACAAAGTAGGCATTTTCCTTGCCTTGAATGGAAACATATTGTGGTACGGTTCATGAAAGACTATTTAGAAAATTATAATGTGGAAATTTTCATGCACTGGTTGCCTGCAATAAACCCTTGATGGAAAAATCTCGTGCCAAAGGCAATATACTTTAAAATAAATAAAAACCTTTCAGGACTGTGGAGGCAGCAGGAGGCAATTCCATATTTGTTCCATGTCCTTTGGTTTTATCTTATTGTATGAAGATAACCTAGAGATATTAGAATAATTTTTCATAGTGTCAACTCTCTAGAGGGCAAACTGTCACTTCACACCAAAACTTGAAAAATTGTTTTTTTTATTAAACATTTCCACTTCTAAAATTTTACAGTAAGAAAATAATCAGAATGCGCCACATTGAAAAATGCACAGAGATATTGACTGCATTTACAATAATAAAAAATTGTTAACAATATTTAACTTTTAGTTATTAAATGTATTTTGTTCCACTAATACTGTGTGCTAATATGAAAATAAACATAATATCTTTAAAGATTGTTGGATTATATGGGTATTTACTCATGATTTAATTCTTAACTTTTATTGAAATACAGGCACATAAAATTATACATGAGGCAACTGAATTTTTGCAATATTAAAACACTCATGTAATCAATATGCAAACCAATAAATAAATATCAGCTCACCAGACTCTCCTTTTACTCATACTTCTAATAAAATAGATTAGGTTTTTCTTCTTTTTAAAGATTTTCTAAGTGCAATCATACAGAATGTGCTCTTTTGTGTCTGATATTTTGCTCAATATTATGTTTGGCAGACTTAATCCAAGTTGTGTAATGTAATTTACTTTCTCATGATCATCGCTGTGTAGTATTCCAGTATATGAACATGTAGAACTTCATTTATTCATTCTACTGTTAAAGAACTTTCAGGACATTTTAAGTTTAAGCTATTATAAATAATGCTATAAGAAATTTATATTTCATCTATTTTATGGGTGTTTTTATGAGCTATATGCATGTGTTCTGTTCCTCTGGTTATTGGACTTATGAATAGAAGTGAAATTGCTAAGTCATAGGATAAGAAGAGGTGCAACTTTTGTAGCAATTGACAAAAGTTTTACAAAGAACTTGTACCAATGTTATTCCCACCAGCAGTGCCTGAGGGTCCTGGTTGTTCCATATCCTTAATATACATTTAATATTTGCTGAAACTTTTATTTAAGTGATTGTGGTGGGTAGGAACTAGCATTGTATTTGGTTTAATTTTGAATTTCCCCTAATGGCTAATGAAGTTGATCACCTTTTTAATAATTCTGTTAGTCACTATAAAATCAATCGTGAAATTTCTGTTCAAGTCCTTTGCGCATTTTTCTACTGAAGTGTCTGCTTATTTTTTTTTTTTACTTATTATATATTCGGAATATCGGTGTTTTATTGGATATATGCATTACCATTATTTTTCTTCGTGGGTTTGTCTTTTCACTTTAATGATATTCTTTTGCATCAATTGCAGAGGTTTGGATTACTGAAAATACAAGACTCCTGCAGGTGCTCATTTAAGGCTTCAATAAAGGAAAAGTTATGGTAGGGTAGAGAAAGAAAGCACAAGCAAACACTGGAGTCCCAACAAAGTTCCAGATGCAGCTCCTCAGGACCCTTTCTGAGTTAGATAGGATATACTTTGTCTTCAGATTATAAACCCCTGATATGTTGAGGAAATATGTGATGTGTGAAGTGCCAAGTTCTATCCTCAGAGCTATAAATAACACATTGATCAAAACAAAGTCCTTACCTTCATGGAGCTTATTTATATTCCAGATGGTAAAAAAGAAACAAATATATTTAAAAATACACAAACTATCAGATAGTGATACGTACAACTGACCAAAAAAAATGTAAGCCACGAGGGGTCCAAAGTGGCTCCCGCCGGAGGTCATGGCGCTCGCGAAGGTGAGGTCATCAGTTCAAGGCTAACCTCATAAGCTCAAACTGATTGGCAAAAAAAAAAAAAAAAAAATGTAAGCCACGGGCCAGGTGCGGTGGCTCAGGCCTGTAATCCCAGCACTTTGGGAGGCCGAGGCGGGTGGATCACGAGGTCAAGAGATCAAGACCATTCTGGTCAACATGGTGAAACCCATCTCTACTAAAAATACAAAAAATTAGCTGGGCATGGTGGTGCGTGCCTGTAATCCCAGCTACTCAGGAGGCTGAGGCAGGAGAATTGCCTGAACCTAGGAGGCGGAGGTTGCGGTGAGCCGAGATTGCGCCATTGCACTCCAGCCTGGGTAACAAGAGCGAAACTCCATCTCAAAAAAGAAAAAGAAAAAAAAAAAAAAAAAAAGTAAGCCACTGTGAATAGGGCGTATTTGCTGTGGTGGGATGAGGTGTAAGAAGTAAAAGGAAATTCTTTGATAACATGATGTTTGAATAGAGACCTTAAGAAAATGACAGGACAGGCAATACAGCTATATGTAGGAAGACGTCTCCAGGCAGAATAAATAGAATATTCATGTAAAAGCATGCATGGATTTTTCAAGAATGTGGTGAGTATAGAATGAGCTGGGGTAGGGTGAGGTTGGGGAGAGTCATAAGAGATAAGCAAGCTGGAGGGACAGCAAAGATCTACCTGATAGTAGTCATGGTAACAGCTAATTGAATGGAAAAATCATTGTAGTGTAGTAAACAGAGGAGTGACATGATCAGACGTATGTTTTGAAAGTACTCTGGCTGCTGTTTTGAGAATAGATTTGGGAAGGGCAATGGTGGGAACCAATAATTAGCCTAAGATGTTTCAGTGGTATTTCTGGAGAGAGATAATGGTCTTGGAGATCTGGTAATAGTGATACAGATATGTTTTAAAGATAGGTCATTTATGGCTTAATGATGTATTGGAATCACTTCAGAGAACAGTCAGTAATGACTCCTAAGTTGTGCTGTGTGTCACTGTTACCGAAAGCATGGAGTGACCATTTCCTGAGATGGGAAAGATTGTGGGATGAAAATCTTTTAGTAGAAATCAGCTAGTTGGTGGAAATTAGGAGAGCAATTAGGGGTATGTTAAATTTGAGACGCCCTTTAGTCATCCAATTGAAGATGTGAATAGAAAGTTGGAAACACGAGTTTTAAGTTTAGGGCTAAGATTTAATCTAAAGTTATAAATTTGGAAATCATTCTTTACTATGTGGAATTTAAAGGTAAAAGACTATGTAAGAACAAGCACAGAGTGAGGAGAGGCAAGAGAGAGCAGGCTCTGGTCTGAATCTTGGGGCATTCTAGTTTAAAAATTGACTAGATAAGAAGAAACCTGCAATACTGAGAAAATGGGGAGGGAAGAAGAGGAGGAGAGAGATAAAAAGACACAGGGTCAGCTGGGTGCAGTGGCTCACACCTGTAATCCCAGCACTTTGAGAGGCCGAGGCGGGATGATTATGAAATCAGGAGTTCGAGACCAGCCTGGCCAATATGGTGAAACCACCAACTCTACTAAAAATACAAAAATTTGCTGGCATGGCGCGTGTCTGTAATCTCAGCTACTCGGGAGGCTGAGGCAGAAGAATCACTTGAACGCAGGAGGCAGAGGTTGCAGTGAGCCCAGATCGCGCCACTACACTCCAGCCTGGCGACGGAGTGAGAATACGTCTTAAAAAAAAAAAAAATAGAGAGGCAGAAGCAGG